TGAAATGACCCAACTGTCATATAACTTCTAGGTTTCCTTCATAAACTGGAAAGTTTATCACGTTATAGATCTGCTCACCCACGATGAACTTAGTGTAATTGCAAGCTATGCCTTTGTGGTTTGATAGATTTAGTTGCCTTGTTTTCTATATCAGGGAGTTCTGGATTTCTTGTTATGAACTGCAATGGAGTAAAGTTTATATAATCTTGTTTAGTAATTTACTGCTGCTGTTTGCAGAACTTTTGTAATGCCTTCAAGAATGTGTATTAACCCAATACACAATAATAAAGAGATCCTTCATCACTCACATAATGAAATTTCAGAAGAAAGGTAAGTTTGTACTTCTTAATTGGGTTTCAAGAGAATGCTTTTTGGCTGTGGGATAGCTTTACTGCTACGTGTTAGCAAAACTATGTCAACTTCCCTACTTTATATCCTATTTGTATATACATTTTTGTTGATCAGAATGTGCATGGTATACAATCAGAATGGACTTCCTTTCATTTGTTAGGTGGACAGCAAACTCCTGTTCCATGGACTCTTTGTATGATATAGACCTCATATCAGGCACTGTACCAGTAATTTTGGACAATTCAAAAATGTGGTATCGAGTGGTGGCAACAAGTATGAAGTTGGGAGGTAGAGGAGCTGCCCATGTGGAAGGAGGTACTCGTGTTGATCCCAGGGAGAACAGTAGTTTCTCAAATCTTTTACTCATAAACAGAACTGCAAGCCCTCTTGCATGGTAATCTATTTCATTTTCTTTTATTGTTAAAAGCTTTAAGATTGGCTTCTTTGGGATGGTGAAACCTACTTGTTTGTTTCAAGGTGTGGTTTCAATCGACTTGGAGATAATAGTTGTGCATGTATTTTTGAAAGAAATTAAGTTAAGTGAGATATTTGTTTACAGTTACTCATTTCAGAGAGATTCCAATTTGTAGATATTTCTCCACTGGAATCATACCCGTTGCAGTGGCACTAATAATATTGTTAGGGATTTTGTAAAAAGATCTTTAATTACTTACGCAATTAGGAATTTCTTGAGCTACCTATAACCTCTTGTTACCAATGTTTTCAAAGGTGAGGCAACATGAATTCTTTAATTAAAGAAAACTATTTAATATAAAATAATTAGAAAGAGAATGCCAAAGAGAATAGAGAATTAGAGAGAGCGTGAAGTTTGGAGCTGGGACTTCGGGAGTCTGATTTGTGTCTTTGGTAGGAGAATTATGGTTTAGAAAATTTGATTTGGGGCTGGGTTGTTGCGAAGAAGAAACTGTTGGGGATTTAGCGTCACTGATAGCTAGCGTCAATGTGCACCTCAGAACGCCTTCCAAAACACTGCTTGTTACTTGATACCTCTAATTTTATTAATCATCTGAGTCTGTTGGCTGAAAAACAACTGAATTTCAAAGCCAAGAGAGGATTTGAATTGTAGGAAATTGAATAAGAGTTTCGCTTGGTTGAAAGTTTTGAAAGTCTCCATTCAAGTTTGTTTAAATTTGCGCTTGGTGTAATTCTTTTAGTTAAGAAATAAACCATGATATGCCTCTCTTGGTTAAGTTGCATGAGTATTAGAATATTGATTTTGGTTGTTTGAGGAATTCATAATGGCAGCTATATAGGTTTATGGAGTGCAAGGATCGAAAAAATCATAGTGCTATAATTTTGCCATATACCTTTCTCCCCTCGATGGCTGCAAAGAAGTTGAGGAATGCAGCTGACAAGGTATGCATTATAGTGAATCCCGCTAATGTCATGCATGTTTACTTAATTGGTATGGGTATTGAAATTATTTCGATTCCTGACTTCCCTTATTTTTACACACGTGGGTATTGGAATGATTCCGATTCTTGATTTCCATTGTGTTTACTATCACATAAGGAACCAAAAATTATGTGGGTTCCATTTTAAAATTTCTAATCCAATACCTCTGAAAAACTAGGAATTAAATTGATTATGGGGTAATAGTTGATCCCATGTCCATTCCTTTTCTCCTCTATGCTAACTTCCCCCATTCTAAGTAACTAAACATGCCATAAGTTTTAATTCCATACTTTAAGTTGTGTAAAGCTTCCATGATGTTGCTCTTTCATCTGTTTGCTTATTGTGCGCATGAGTCTAAGGTATATTCATGTCATATAAACATATTCCAGTAAGTTAGAGCATGTCAGTCACTATTATAACTAAAACTGGAGCTGTTGTTGAAAATGAGTCTGTATTCATGTCATAGCCCCCTCTGTTTTCTCTTGAATTATTTCCTGTACATATCTGCTATTACAGACTTTGGCCAAATATTTTTCACAGATTAAGGCACTCCTTGGTGATTATGATGCCATTCACGTACGTCGTGGTGATATAATTAAGACCAGGAAGGACAGGTTTGGCGTTAACAGGACCCTGCATCCTCATGTGGACAGGGATACACACCCAGAGTTTATTCTCCGCAGAATTGAGAAATGGGTCCCATCTGGACGAACTCTTTTTATTGCTTCAAATGAGAGGACACCAGGATTTTTTTCACCTCTCTCAGTCAGGTAAGTCCTCAGGCGTGTTCTGTTCTCTGCACCATCTGCTTTGAAAATGAAAGCCTGTGTGTTCATTTTGTCATGCTAACATGATATAGGATAGCTCTCACGTTGTGGCTATGAATTCTAAATTCAGGTTGACCATTGGCAGAAAATGTTCTGGATTTAGGTTCTCCAAGTAAAACGAATTTGGCAGGAACTTTTGGATTAGTTAATACTGAAGTAGTCGGACTAAAAATCATTTTAATAAGCTTTTGAATTCTTTGATACTGGAGTCTTGAACAGTAATGATAGAATCAATAATGTGTAACGTCTTCCTGTGCACTATGATTGATTGCTGAGCTGGTCTAATATTTTGTCTGTCATTATGCTTAAGATTTTAATTTAAGTGAACTTTGAGTTGTATACTTTTGCGCTGTCAAACACGCCTCCTTTATTTTAGTTTGAACTACTTCATGGATTGTGCTGTCACTATAATTTTGCCAACCTCAAGAGGTTACATTTGTAAAACAAGGTCCCCGCTGACCTTGATCCTTATGTCTGACCCATCTGTGCAGATATAAGTTGGCCTATTCATCAAACTATAGCCACATATTGGAGCCCGTGATTGAGAATAACTACCAGTTGTTCATGATTGAAAGGATTATCATGATGGGTGCTAAAACATTCATCAACACATTCAAAGAAGGTGACGCAGGTCTCAGTCTTACCGATGACCCAAAGAAGAACACCAAGTTATGGCAAATACCAGTCTATAGCTTCGATGAAGAGGGAAGCTAACATTAGCTGCCATTTTAGCACTGTGGAAAGGTTCCGAAAGTTTTTTAGCCCTCGTACCGATACTCTGAATACACATCATACAAGCAGAGCCTCACCTTGCATGCTATGAAAGCTTCCCAGTGAAAATCAATACGGCAGGGAATTGCAGGCCTTTCAGTGTTGTGAATTGTGACATAGATTATTTTGTTTTTTCCCAAATATTTATTTGAACGAAGATGTTTAAATTTCTTTTTATCTCTTATTGTTATATACTTTCCCCTTTGAGGGGGAGAGAATTTACGTACATTTTTCATTTATGGTGTATCACACACTCAGATTATTTGAATTATATATAAAAGATTAAATGTTTAAATAGTTATTGAAATACCTTTTTTTTTTATTGAAATAGTTACTGAAGTACCTTTTTTTTAATATATAAAGAAAATCAATATTGAAAAAAGAGAAGACACTTGCCCCCACATCGATCCAACTGTGCTATGAGTAATCTCCTCATAATTGTGCTTCTACAAAACGAGTTTGTCCTTGTGAGGACTTTATGATATTATTTTAAAACTATTTTTAAAGAATTCTTCTTCTTTTTTCTTCTTTTCACACATCAGCATTATAACGGGTGACCCACTTGCCAATGGAAAGGTAATGAGGGGGTTCTGGGTGAGGGGTAGTGAGAGAGGTTCAATCCCACCTTCCAACAAAAGAGAAAATCTTGAATGAATGGTTGCATTTAACCCCTCATTCACCCCCTCATTATAGAAGCTCTCCCAAAACTGAAGGGAGTAAAATGTCGTTAATCCAATCGTTTTTCATAAAAACCAATAAGCCCAACCCGAGACCTTTAGGCTTCCAAGAATCTTTGCCTCTACAAAATCGGCTGGTCAGAAAAAGGGTACCAAGAGCTTACATACTCTACTTCCCTACCCAATGTCCTCGTCAATCCAACATTGGCACTGAGTTTGCCCTCTTCTTCAAAGTTTAGAATAGATGTGTGGTAAAACTAGACTCGTATACGAAATGTATGAGACCCAAAAGCTCATAAACCACCTCTCAACATATGCTATTTTTCCAATGTGAGATAACGGATCGTAACATTCGACTTACGGCTGCATTCTTAATTCCTTTTTATATTTTGTGTTTTCATTCCCGAAACTCTTTGCCGTGTTTCATATCATCGAGGAAGCTTCTCCACAAAACTGAAGTTGAAATTCACCAGCAATACTTACACAAGGGAAGATATCCTTTTATTATTTATTTATTTATCTACTTTTTTCTTTTTCTTTTTTTTTTAAATTACACCCATCAGAACAGACAGGCAAATGCTCCATTTACAAGTTATTCATTCATCTTGTACTTGAGCCCTATCTCAAAGCAACTGACAAATCCAACAAAGATTACAATACCACTGGAATTTCATGATGCAGTTTGCAGAAATCATCATCAAGATCCAAAATTATATGTTTCACACCAAATAACCTAAAGACAGTGCAGCTCAAACTAAAGCATTGGTGAACCTTAAATGCAAAAATGCTCACCCTTCAGACTTCATTGTGTAGATCATGAACATGTTGTAATCAAACATAATGAAACTCTTGGGATGGATGAAATCAACAGATTACGATACAAAATCTGCAAACATAGAGCATTTTATTTAATGTAATTCAAATTAACCTCACTTACCAAAGCTTTTCACGAATAGCATATTTCGAAAATGTACAATTAATTGCAAATGGAGTTCTCGAATCAGATAAAATCGAAATCACAATAATAAAGAGGTTAGGAACTACAGAAACCAGATAAACTCTCAAACTATAACCCACGATTAAGTGCAATTGAGATTGAATGATGAACAGGCTAACTCAAATACTTATTAATTTCCGTTATGAGGTATGGTGTAGGATTTGATCCGAGAATTGACACCGATGCCCTCTAAGATTTTAAGCTTGTGTTTATTAAAATCTTAAGCTTCTGGACAAAGGTGCAATTCATGCATACATGTTCAACAGAAGGCACAACAACAAAAGAAAATTGAGATAATTTCAGTAGAACTTTTCATTGAAAAAAGACAATGGAATTCTTTCATTTATTATTTGTAAAATTTTGTTAGTTTCCACATTCCCCCAAAAACAATGCAATTAGGAAGCAGAAAACAACCACTCTGTCCCTCATGTGTCAGCCTCTCGTCATTACCCAATAGAGATCCCACATTCCACATAAGAGGTTGCAAATGCAAGGATTTGAGGATAGGATTTTTTGCTATGATTTCCTAAGCTCTAACATTTACTACATAGAAACCTGGTGCATAATTGAGGAAACCACCAAACAATTTTATATTTCTAATCAAAGCAATCATCAAGCATATGCAAGTCGATAATCTCTCACCTGAAATCCTCCTCTATTGCCAAGACAACATACACATCGAAACTCAATATCACTATGCAAGAAGGTAACTGAAATTAATGACACCTCTGAAAATTCCACAAAAGATTTTATTAATTATAGAGCACCTTGCTATGGAAACAGTAAACTTTATGAATACAAATTTTCAAATCCACGTGCAACGTCACAAATTAATAATTGGGGAAGCTGATTGAAAACATGCTAAAAATAAAAAAATAATAATCTTGCCATACTAGTTTACAACTACAACAATACTTTGTTTCATTTGAAGTGGAAACCACAATCTTAATGATTGAACTTTTCCAAGTGGAAGCAGCTAAGTGCAAAATCATGGACTCTAGGTATGGGCACTCTTACATCTATATATTGCAGAAGAATGCAACATACAATACAGTATATCTCGAAATTACAGGGTATCCTCTTAGGAACCATTATCAACATACCACCACCATGATGAACCTTGGCTGAAATTAATAAATCTAATAATTACACTAAAAACTAAACAGTACTAGGGAATTGGGAGGGGGAGAACGCATTTTGGATACCTTCTGGTTATTCTTTAGCTATGCATTTGCATCTGCGCTGATGCTCTGAAAGTTCCTGCGATGTTCCAAATTTTTCAGTATGTACACAAATTTCCTTGTAATGCACACCAGACAGGCATCACATCTGATTCAAATATGATTATAACTCCTCCTTTCTCAGTTATACTTCTTAGTGCCTACTACTTTTTCAAAAGGGGGAGCAAGCAAAGAAAAACTTTTGTAAAATTGAACTATGAAAATGGATATCATAGTTTTACTTTCAAATCTTTCCCACGTGTCTCCTCAGGAAGCATACATATTGAGAAAGTTTCTTGAAGAAGGTCAATGTATATAATACCTGAATCTGCTTCTGAAGAAACTTCACATACTCCACTGCCTCGTCTAACATATCGGCAGTATTAGTTTGCTGCAAGGAAAATCAATACAAGCACCATACCAAACAAAGTAAGTTATTGTCTGCTTAATTTTGCAAATGCATTAAAATTTTAGACAAATTCTTCTACTTATAACTTTTGAAGTTGTTCTAGAAATCTTCTAGTTTCTGTTCTTTGTGCAAAAGATCAAGATTACAAGTTCTAGGATTAAAAACTGGTGAAAACAGACTTTTTATTACTATCAGGATTTCAAGTTAGAATTTTCTTTAATATGAAAAGAAACAATTGTATTAACATGAAAGAAAACAAGTACAATAGCACTGGACAAGCAGTCCTCTGACTCAACAAAAGTGTTTAGCAGCCAGCTATCTGCTCAAACCAAGATAGCAAATACATAACACAGATGTAGCGATCTCAATAACCAACACTCTTTCCCACCAGAAGGATACCTCCTCATCACATTTTCCACTCCAAGAAAAAGGTCAAAATGCAGCAGGCCCATAACATAGTCACCTTTTCCTTTCGACAAAAAGGCACAATATCCATTGTTACATGAAGTACACATGAATTCGGAATCACCCAATTCAACCTTGCCTCCCTAAATAATTTTTGCCATAATCGAGTGAACAACGGCCCAGACAACTGTGCATTCATCAACTTATAAATATTCTTTTGCTAACCTCTCTACCCTATTGAAAATGCTCAAATGCTGCTCTTGTAAGGATTTCATTCACTCAAGTTCTTCAATAAGAAATTGAAGTGGTTACTACAGAGTTTGAAGCAACACAACCATTGCTATCCACATCAACATTATTGCAACAATTATTGTGCACAACTAAACTCTATTTTTGGATTGACTGTCACTTTCTCATTTAAAGAGATTCAGTATTTTCATCAGTAAAATTAAGTTGTAACTTGTTACTGTTGGATTTAGAAATATGAACAGCAGAAGCATAAAATCATGTTCAATGTGTAAGATGAAGCTTTATGTGAATTCAACATAAAAGCAAACAAATAAAGTAGCCTTGGAGATGTGAAGCCCGAAGGCTACGCAGAGCTCCTACACGAACTTGATAAAACTCTTCTTAGATAACTTCTCTTCTATAATTTTGGATACAATTCATTTACTCTTTGATACAAACAAACAAGTATTAATAGGAGTCACTTAGTAATGATTAGATAACGCTATATTAACTCCTATGAACCTTTCATATTCATAACTCACCCAATAATTATATGTTCATACACTCGCATTAATCTCCAGATTAATCATAGATAGATTCTCTCTAAGATACTAACCGTAATTCATTAACTCCTAACGTTGTGATTAATGCCAACAGTTATATATGGGTTAAGCTTGATTGTACTTAATATAATGACTTCAAAGTTTTAGAGAACCGAAAGATGTCAAATGAATTATAAAATCTCATGGCAAAAAAACAAAAGAATTATAATATCTGATGAAACTAAATGCGGTGCTGATTCTAAAAATCCGTACTATTTCTGCATAACGTTTCTTTTAATGAGTCAACAGATCATACAATATTGTAAGCATTTGCTTAATTTATCTTATATATGTTTGATGAATTATTCTCATATAATTTCCGAATTTGTATTAATTTAATCCTGTAATATATGTCTCGTAGAGGCCGTAATTTATTGAATAATTGTTTTTCAATATTTCATGATCTATTATTCACAATCATCTATAGTTATTTCAACTATGTCCCCCGGACTAGAAGAATCAAAATGTATAGAAATTCGTATGCCCTAAAAGGATACCAAAATAAAAGGGGAAAATAATAAAAGGAATTCAATTGGAGTTAAGAAGAATGGAGCAGGAGGGAGCACCTTATCCATGTTGGGCACAAGTTCTTGAAGCTTCCTTATGCGGTCACTGATTCGAGTCCTGCGGACCTATAATATTAACCCAGCAAGCAATTAAACAACTTAGAAAATAACAAACATCAAATATGTTTAACTGAGCTATGAAATTTGATTGAATTTTTTTTTTTTTGGGGTCAGTTTTAAGTTAGGAACCAAACCCTTTCAGCAATGCTCCTAGGATGCGTAGCACAACCACGCTTGGCCCTAACCCTGCAAGGCACTGCATCCTCCAATCCACTTTCCTCCAATTTCTAACAAGAAAATGCAAAACCAAATATTAATTAAATCAACCAAGTTATTAAATTATTAACCAAATTAATATATATTTTTAAAACTTTTAAATTAAAAAAACCCAAGATTTAGAGAAAACTCACCACCTCCCTAACCCTCTTATTAGCAGGAGGAGAAGAGCTATTTGGGGACAAGGACGCAAAGTCGAGGTGCGCCGGAATTCCAAACCCCGAGAAATACCCTTCCGACCCGTCGGTCGAACTCCCCAGAAACTCAGCCGGAGAGCTGTTCTGTCGGCTAAGAAATCCAGCGGCGGCGGCAGCTTCATACGACACTGGATCCACCGTCGTAGAACCAAACCCTACTGATGTGGCTCCTGTGTTTTCAGCAAGAAGCTCAGTTAAGCACTGGGTGGGCTTCAATGGGTCTTCTTCTTCCTCCTCAAGCAGTGCCTCTAACCATGTCGCCGGCGCCGAGCAGAACCGGCCGAGCCCGCCTCCCCGACTCACTTCTCCGCCGCCACTGCTGCTTCCGCCAGCTGCCCGTTGCATCTGCTTTGGCTAGCTTTCAACTCGAACTATTCACCACTATATATATAGATATATATGTATAATATTTCTCTTTTAATATTATAATACCCTAACTTGTGCTAGCTACCAAGTAACTTTTTTTTTCTTTTTGGGTTTTTGTTTCTTCTGCTGCTGCTGCTCAGAGTTTTTGCAAGCTTCAATATTTTGGACAAAGAGAGGTGTGAGAGGAAAGAGACGGAGACAGAGGGACAAATAAAAATAAAAAATACTAACTTATAATTTTTTTTCAAAAATTTATAACACCCCGTGTTGTGCTAGCGTTTGTCGAATTCCCCTGTCTGCTGACAAGGTTTTTTTTTGTTGAGTTTTTTTTCCTTCTTCTTCTTCTTTTTCTGTTCAAGCTGCAAAATTTTGGAGAGAGAGAAGTGAGAGGAAAGAGAGAGAGAGAGAGAGAGACAATGCTTGAAGGACAGATAAAAATCAGAATTATTAACTTTTTTTTACTTTTTTCTGTTTTGTTTTGTTTTGCTTATTTTGGTTCACTTGTCTGAGCAATGTTGCGCCAAATAAAGAAAGGAAAGCAGAAGTGATTGATTGATTGCTTCCTTGTTCCTGCGCTTTTGAGGTGTAGCTCTCCCTTCATTCTGGACCGTCGGATGGGCAGAAAATCATTGCCTTCGGAGAAGTCAACGCTGATTGGGTAACAAAGACGTACGCGTTACGTGAAAGAGTAACATGTAAGGTCGGGAGATCGCTGTGCGTGGAAGGCTGGAGAGCCGCAACGTCATCGTTTTGTGGACTGGTAACGGCGTCTTCAATGTGACGATGGGTTTCAAGACCCAGACGAAGTGTGGCGCGTGGATGCACGTGTGGATGAAAATGGAGGCAGGGGGTTGCCATTGGCGCGTGGAGGTAAGTTTGCTTTTTCATTGGATATGGTAGATTTTTTGGGAGCTGTGGTTGGAGTTTGTGTATTTTTGGGTTTGCTTTTTCTGGCAAATTTAAGGAGAGGAGACAGCAGTGGTTCGCAATGAGAAAGGTGTAGCCTTTTGTCCTTTTTTTTTTTTTTTTTTTTCTTTTTCCTTTCAAGAAAGGTGTTTTGGCTTTGGACATGGACTTTTTAGTCTTTTACTTGCTTTTCTTCTCTCAAGGAACCAGAGTGTGGACCCAACTAGGGTTGGGTCGAATCCAAGGGATTGGAATGTGTTTGTATCTACTCCGTCTGAGGAGAAAAACGATTGGAATGTGTTTGTATCTACTCCGTTTGGGGAGAAAAAATTTGTTAACAGTGTTTTACCATTCCTCGTCAATAATGTTATGTCCCTTGGAAGTATTATTACGTTTGTCATAGCGTTATTAGTTGAGTGCTATTCATGTTTCATGAAAGTCTCTCTCCTGTTTGAGATATAATGTGATAGCACCATGTCATTACCCCCCCCAAAAAAAAAGAAAAAAAAAGAAATGACAAAAAATAATATTTTTCCACCCTTTTAATGTTGTGTAAGATATGCATAAAGTATTTGTAAGTAGTACTTCTAATTTATATGTATGCCGTAAATTTTATTCAATCTCTCATCATGTAAGCTTATAAATAGGTAGCTCTACTAAAGATGAAATGAATAAGTTTCATTATGAAGCTTTCTCTTTAGCAAGCCACTTCTCTCTACAATTTCCCCCCTTAGTTTTATAGCACGTTATAGACACGAATTTTTAACCAGTTGAAGTTCTTGTGCTTTTCTACATTCCAAGTTACAATATAAGTATACTATAAGGTGCTAATAAGTATTCCATTTCATAAGCATACATAAATATTTTTTGGGGGCTCCGCAGCACTATGTATTTTACAAAGGTTTTACACCTTTGGATTAGCCCATTTATTAATAGATGAGATTATGGCTAGTTTTAATTTTTTTAATACACAATCATTAATTTTATTTTCTTTCTCATAAAAATAAAATATTTTTTTTTCTCTATCCTTCCTTTTTTTTCTTGGGAACATAATCCCAACTGCGTTTTTAATATCAAATATTTTTTAAGGTGTAATAAATAAAGAATCACACCAAAAACTAAAGGCCCAAACCATAGAGAGTCTCTTTAGCTTCCCCTTCTTCACGCACATGGCATATGTAGCCATCAAATCATCTTCCATCTTCCATCTTCAGTAGTTCTTTTACCCTCCGTTTGGATGAAGTAATTGAAAATAGTATAAAATTTTTAAATAAAGGAATTTAGATATCTATCGTTTAAGTTTATGGCAATAAATATTTTTAATGTTTTGATTTATGTATGTCGAAATTTTTAAATGACAAAAATTAAAGTGAAAACGAATTCCTGCTCAATAGAAATTGCAAAATGACGACTATTTTGTGGAAATTAAACTCGGGAATCTCTATCCCAAATTTCCACGATTTTTCCCGCGCGTCATTTAATAAGTTCTATATTTAAGTTGCCAAATAATGAAAATATCAATTTCTTCACTTCAATTCCATACTTTTAGCTAAGACTCGAGTTATTTTCCTCCATCTAAACGAAAGGTTATGTCAAAGCAATTTTTAAATAGTCTAGTATTCAATATAAGCTAATCCTCTATTGAACTAAGGTTCACATAAAATACATGCTTACTTGGTCTAGTCAAGTCTAGTAACTAATTTAAATAAAAGCATCTCAAATTATAGGTCTTAATTTATATGTTGAATTAGAACAATGCTAATAACCTAACGTTTTCCCCTAACTTTCTTTTCTCAACTTAGATGCTATTCTCACATTAGAGTATACAAAAATGTATTTATTTTCTTAACACAATGATGTAGCGTGCATATTTTATGCATCAAGCAAATATGTAAGAAAGAAGTTCCGACAAAGATAACATTACCCTAAGAGCATCTACAATCATGCTTTCTATTTTTTAGTTCAAATTTAGCTAAAAACACACAAAACCTATTTTAGAAGCTCTCTATAAAATTTCAACTTCAATCATACTCCCTAGTTTATGTAGTCATAAATGCTATAATTTTTGTTTAATTCTATATAAATGGTCAATCTCTATAAAAATTAATATAAAAATAGTTAGCATTGATTAAATGATTAAGATATACATAAAACAAAAAGGCATTAAATTATAAGGAGCCACTAAGAGTCATTTCTCTCTCTCCTCATATTTAGAGCACTTTCAGCAGTAAAACCCTTGCTATGGTAAGGGGGGGGCTAGGGCAGCTACTATTCACATGAATAGTGGCTGCCCTTTTCAAAAAGCAATGTGTGCAAAAACTATTCATTTTTAAATTTTTTTTACAAATTTGTTCACCTAAACAATTAATTTGGACAATATTTTCGGATAAGATTTTTGGTGTGAGAAGTGAAAAATAGGACTAAGTATTTATTTTTTTAAAAATATGATTTTTTTTTTGTATTTTTAAAGATTTTTTTTAAAAAAATTAATTAATTTTTTTGTTGCTGACCTCAACCTGCCCTCGTTTTGGATATGGGGCTCGACCTGCCCTCGGGCCAGCCCAAGTCGCTGGGTCCCGCCTTTTGCCCGGACTTCTTGTTGCTGGAAACGGCATTTTGGACCAACCCCCTCCCCAAAAAAAACCCTTCTGTTGGAAATGCTCTTAGAGCAAGTCCACCCATGAAGGCTAGGGCAAGGGCAAGGCAAGGCAAGGGCTGCACTATTCACGTGAATAGTGGCAGCCTTGCCTTAGTTGGTTCCACCCATGAAGGCTAGGGCAAGGGCAAGAAAAAAAAAAGATTATGCAACAAAATATAAACAATTTAGAAAGTGAATAAAATTGTTATGTATTTATAGGGAAAACATCCATAATTTGTTGGTATTTTTTATAAAAAAAAATTGAATTTTTTTGGATTTTTTTGAATTTTTTTGCTCACTGACGTCAGCGTGACATCAGCGCCTTCGGACTGCAGCCCAGGCAAGATCTGCCCGTGGGCTTGCCCAGGTTGGTGGGACCAACCACTTGCCCGGGCTTGAGGCTGCGCGCTGGAGGCCTGTTTGGCTTGACTGGGCTGCCTTTTGCCCGGTTTTGTGCTCCCGCTGGACTTGGCCTTAGGAGCTCCTAGAGGTCAAGGGTAACATTAAGGAATATTAGTGTCACAAAAAAACCTTAAGACCCCGTTTGGTTCACGGAACAAATTTGATGGGAAATCATTTCCTATGTCATTTACCATTTGTGATAAAAAGCCCAAATTTTTATCTACAAGGGCGAAAGTGAAAGTAAAAATCTACAAGCACGAAAGTGAAAATTACAGAGACGATCGATTCAATTTGGCCTAAAAAGAACTCTCAATCTGCACAGCGTCTTTATTATTCTACTCTTTGGTTTTCGAATCCAAGTCTCGCAAACGGCAAATCCAAATCCTAGGGAACTCCATTCGAAGCGTAGAAACTTGTTCAAGCAGTCTTCGCTGGTGCAGCTATGGCGACTATGGTGAGCTCGGCCTGTGGGCTCCTAGCCATGCTGAACGAGGCCCATCCCTTGCTCAAGCTCCACGCTTTGTCCAACCTCAACAACTTGGTCGACAACTTTTGGCCCGAGATCTCCGCCAGCGTACCCGTCATGTACACATTATCTCTCACCCACTCTCTTTTTTTGTTTTTTGTTTTTGCTGAATGCTTGTGTATAGGGTTCATGTTTTTGTTGATCTTAGAAGAATTCTTTTGATTTTTCGTGTGTATTTTGGAGTATTTAGTAGGTAAAGAATGTGTGAGCTGGGATTTTTATTATTTATAATTATTTAATTTTGTTGGAATGAAAACAGGGTTTCAATTCTTAGTTCCAGGGAAGAAGATTAGGATTTTTTTTAAAATACCAACGAGGTTGGATTTATGTGTTTGATATTTGCAATCGTTTTCTGTGTTGGTGGAAGTGAGGGGTGTGTAGGTTGTAAGAATTGATCATGTGGTGGCTAAGTTGATGATGTTATATAAAGCTATATAAGAAAGCGGATGATGGGATTTATACGTATCTTCAATTCTTCAGTGGGCAGTTAAATTGTATCTTGTAGACAGTGTTGAGAAATAAGAATATGGATTCATAATACGACATACAGGAGAAATGCAACTGAGTTTTCCTTTAATTAGTTTTTCTGCTTTATTTCCTAATATTGACCTTTACTTAAGAGGAAGAAGGTTACTTGGGATGGTATTAACTGGGATATAAGTTCTCGAAGCTTTGCATGGGAAGCTACTTTAGGATTGACGATACTACTTGGTTCTAGGTGCCTATGTCCAGTGCACCTGGCAGTGTCTTCCTCGTATGCTTTCCCCCTCCAGATTCTTGATCAGTGAAGACCTCCTGAAAAATGTTTTGAGCTATTGGTATATATGCTTGGAATAATCAGACTAGGTTCACAAGATCCATTAATAGTAGTATAAGAGCCTACTAATAATTCAGTGAATTTTGGTCGAGTTATTTGTTTTTGAAACCTTGTGTGATCTCCTTATGAATTTACGACAAGAGCTATATAACAGAAAGGATTCTCTACAGTGCTACTTGCATTCTGTATGACTTAGGTTGTTCACCTGGTATCTGATCTCTAATTTAATGGAGTTTGAAGATGGGAATTTCTGGTTTTTGGTTGTACAGGTGGTTTTAAGGAGATCTATTAAGATTAGTGAAGTCCATGGACTTTAAAGACTGTTGATTTTTTGTTTTGATGTCAGTGATAGGAAAGATCAGATTGTTTTTCTATCCTGGTAACTATAGTTCAGGTCATGTTTGTTTTGGATGTAAGATATCTTTTATTTGAATGAGATTATTAGATGTTGATTTTTATGCTTTAGACTGTTAAGAAAGAGGGAAAGTGGCTCTTTCAAATTCGGATAAAAGCTGATGGTTTTTTATTTTTGTATTTTATGGTGGGAGTGGCGTAGCATGATTCAAGCAGACTTCACTGTTCTGTTATTGTTTAATTATGCTGAAAAACACCTAATAGATGAATCGACTACTTTGTATTTTCTGTGCTGCCATTATGCCTTTCCAAGGATTCGATATGGACCAGATTGACCTACATCCTGATCATACATTTTGATACGATAACCTGAGCTTAAAATAAGAAATCTGATATGTATATGTTTTGACCTACATCCAGATTCTTGATCAGTGAAGATATTCAGATTTCTTATTTTATGTGATATCCAATCTGACAAATTTTAATTTGGTTATTAAGGAGCTTAAAATTTTCTTCTTCTTTCTGATAAAAAAAATCTTCTCCATTACAAAATAAAATTTAAAAAGTTCACCTGTTTGCACAGCGAAATATCTCTTCTAGAGAGTTAAACCATATTATGTTATAACTATCCAATAAGGAGCTATACATGGTTACTTATATGGCTTAGTTTCTTGACTACTATATTTTTTGACCTCTGATAATTGATAATTAAATAACAAACGATGCATAAATAAACTTATTAGACGAGTAAAATTGTCCTTTTTGTAACTATTCTCGTAATTTATATTGATTTATTGTTTGTTATCAAGTTGTAGCTTATGTATAAATAAGTGAATAGTTTAAGGGTTCATTTAATGTTTTTAAAAAAGGTTCTTTATTAGTAAAGGCCTAATTTATGGAAATACACCTAACATTTCTTTTGCAACAAAAAGGACCTCTGACATATTTATCTTCGACAAATAAGGGCCTCTGACAGTTACTGCAATTGCACCTAACTGTTACTGCAGTAACACTGACTAGTGCGGCTACAGTTGTGGGCCTGTGTAAAGTGTTATTGAGTATTTTGAAAATCAGGCCCTTATTAATAATTCATTATTTTTAAATATCAAATTAGTCTTACATATACATATTATATATATCATATTCATAATATCAAAGAAAATGAACTCTATATTATATCAAAGTTTAGATCACATTATTATCTGACCAGAGAATAGCTTTAATCCATATATGATTGTTAAGCTAATGGGTTATCAGATTTAAATCATAACTGGATTATCAAATTGAATTCACCATACCACATCCGATTAATTAAATTTTATTCAGATCAAAATCCCATCCATTCACAGTGCTAGTTTTCATCACAAATTTGTTATTGATTAGGCTAGTGTGCTTTTAATACCTTTGTTATGCATACCTCCAAACTATGATATTTTGGATAGATAGTGAAAATAAAAACTTTTGTTGTTGAACTTCTGTATTTATTGATGTTTTTCTGAATATTTATAACGATGTCATATTGTTTCTCAGAGAAAGTTTGTATGAAGATGAAGGGTTTGATCAGCATCAAAGACAACTGGCTGCATTGCTTGTGTCAAAGGTAAAAATTGACTGCGCTGCTGCCTCCCTTTTGAAGTAGTGTGTTGGTTCCCAAGAGGTTTTTTTATCAATCAATTTGGTTGCAAACAAATAAGGTTGGGGAAAATCTTTTGACCACCATGGACCCTGTTGGCTGAACTTTCTATGCCTGCACTTTTGCCTTCTAATAGCCCAGAAATTACTGGAAAACATTAATGTCCTCATAATACAAAGTATTTGCATATGTGTCTCTGTCATTTGTGGGTTTCAGTTCCCTATCTTCTTCTGGAATGTGTTAATTTAACTACTCTGATCTTTTTGTTTACATGATCTTTTTCCTTTCCCCAGGTTTTCTATTATTTGGGTGAACTTAATGACTCACTTTCCTATGCCCTTGGAGCTGGTTCCTTATTTGATGTGTCAGAGGATTCTGATTATGTCCATACTCTTCTAGGTAAGGATATTTTAGTTAGCATGATTACTCTTAGGCGCTAAAACTTACACCTTCGCTTTGTAAATGATGACTGTGATTAGTGGGATCTTGGATGTACTTTGAGGGGTAGAAAACTATGAAAGGATGATGCTAGTAGGTTTAAGATATCTCAATATGGATAATCAACTTTCTTTCATGGCCAAGTCATCTCTGATTTAGTACTGTTAGAAGTGGATTAGATGCATTGAACTTTGAGGATGTATTACAACACTTTATTTACATGACATATTTGTTGTTTGCTCCTCTCTTCAGCTAAAGCCATAGATGAGTATGCCAGTCTTAAGTCTAAGGCAGCAGAATCACGTACTGAAGCAGCAAATGTGGATCCTAGATTGGAGGCAGCTAAAGGTATAATTGAGTATCCCCGTCTTAAGTCTAAGGCAGCAGAATCAAGTACTGAAGCAGCAAATGTGGATCCTAGATTGGTGGCAATTGTAGAGAGAATGCTGAATAAGTATGCAGGCTTCTAATGTTTTAAAATGCAATACTTCTGTACCTTTGGTTTTCTGACCACTTTTTCCCTTTAGGTGTATCATGGATGGAAAATATCACCAAGCTATGGGGATTGCAATTGAATGCCGAAGATTGGATATACTTGAGGAAGCAATCATAAAAAGTGATAATGTTCAAGGAACTCTGTCATATTGCATAAATGTTTCACATTCCTTTGTTAATCTTAGAGAATATAGGCGTGAGGTAAGGCTTTGCTCATTCATAGATGATATATTATTGGCTTTTGTGTTTCAGATATATGTGATTTTTTTTCTGATAAGATGAATACATGTGACTTTGTATCTCTTTTTCTCCTTTACTATTTTTGTTGTTGTTGTTAAGATATGGTATTTCTGTTGCTGCATGGTCTATGGCCAACAAACAGTGATATAGAAGACTTTTCCTTTTGTTGGTTCTTGAGGCTATATTGTATAACATGGTAGATTTATCTATAAGTATGGTGAAAATAGGCCAAAAATACAGATATGAAAAACCTGGAAAATTTGGTATGTAAATACATACTTAGTTTTAAATATATATATATATATATATATATATCTGATTTTAATTACATTTTATTTTAAACACGTAATTCGTATAAAATAACTAATAAAAGCAATAATCGTGGTACGACTGAGAGGACTTGAAGGTTGAAAGCTAATGAGTTTTAGTAAAAAAAAACATATGATACGCATATAGCAAAGGTGGGCACAATGGATGGTACAATACATTGCATGGCTCTAACATATTCTTTTATTTTCATGATGTACTTTAGATTTCTGTTTCATATTAATTTCATATTTGATAGCATGTTATGCTTAAAGACCAATCTTCTGTATTTTCTAGTCGTTTGAGTATCGCGGATTGATCTGGATTCCCTTGTGCTTCCTTATGTTGTTCATATGCCTTTGCTAACCCTCTTATGAATGTGGAGTTAATTAAAATAGGAGAAAATCATTTAGAGTGCTAGCGGTTCTGGTGATGGTGTTCTGGGTGTTTGAATGGACGTTGAGGATTTTTGAGTGAAAGAAAAGACTTATTTGGAAGGTTTAAAATATAATTGCTATACATGGACGCATATGCAACACAGGATTATGAACAATTTTGTAGTACGCCTTAACATGTGTTTTGATACCAATTTTTCCATTCTTTGTTGGAATATTAATGTTAGGTTTAAAATTTGCAAGGATTTTAATTTGTTCCAGCACTAAGTTGGAGATGTTTTTATTTAAGGGCACACATATATGCTGGATTGGACAAATTACATGGCTCTTATATTGAAAGGCTAGGTTATAGATCTTAGAGGTGTTCTCTTCTTATTTCTTCTTTATCTGTATTCCAGGTTAATTGACCAAAACAAAAAAACGTTAAATCTTGATGATATAACAAGAAGGGGATATAGTTGGTTTGGAACCAAAATCAAAGGCTTTAAGATGATTTGATTGGAAAATTTTGTCTGTTGTGACCCTTTTGTGTCTCATTTTCTATGTTATGCGTCCATAAATATCATGATTAATGATTTTTCACATTTTATTTAATGCTTTGTGCCATGTTGGTTGATTGAATCAAGCCATGCATTGTGCAAATATCTTTATTGAAGAGAGTGAACTATTTATCCTTGTTTGTTTCATTGTATAGGTACTTCGCCTTCTAGTCAACGTGTATCAAAAGCTTCCCTCCCCAGATTACTTGAGCATTTGTCAGTGTCTCATGTTCTTAGATGAACCTGAAGGTGTTGCAAGCATATTGGAAAAGCTTTTGCGCTCTGAAAACAAGGATGATGCACTCTTGGCATTTCAAATAGCCTTTGATCTCATAGAGAATGAACATCAAGCTTTTCTCTTAAGTGTGAGAAAACGCCTTTCCCCTCCCAAGCCTCAGCCTTCAGAATCTCCGCAGCCAGAATCCAGTGAAGCTGCTCCAAATGAAAATTCTGCTCAAGAGGATGTTCAAATGACAGATGGAGGACCTGCTTCTAATGTGAGTGTGCTTGAAGATCCGAATGAAGTGATGTATTCTGAGAGGCTGACAAAAATTAAAGGAATTTTGTCTGGAGAGACATCAATACAGTTGACTCTACAATTTTTGTACAGTCATAACAAGTGAGGCTGTTATTTTCTTCCCATATTGTAATTTCATTAATTCATAAGTAACTTTTTGTTTCTGCTGGAAATGAGTCGTTTAGAAAGTGCTTTAACTGTTTTCTGTCATTTGCATATAGGTCCGATCTTCTTATTCTGAAGACAATAAAGCAGTCGGTTGAGATGAGAAATAGTGTATGCCATAGTGCAACCATTTACGCTAATGCAATTATGCATGCTGGAACAACTGTGGACACGTTTCTTAGGGAGAATCTGGTAAAGCAGATAACTTAATTTGTTGTTTGACCACCTTTTGCATTGGCATATTTCTTTGTTATGGATATTGACAACTTAGGTTTACATTGTCAGGACTGGTTAAGCAGAGCCACAAATTGGGCAAAATTCAGTGCAACAGCAGGGTTAGGTGTTATTCACAGAGGCCACTTGCAGCAGGGAAGATCGCTGATGGCACCTTACTTGCCTCAAGGTGGGGCTGGTGGTGGTGGCAGTCCGTACTCAGAAGGTGGTGCTTTGTATGCTTTGGGTCTCATTCATGCCAACCATGGCGAAGGCATCAAACAATTTCTTCGTGATAGTCTACGCAGTACTAATGTTGAGGTGTGTACTTTGTAAACCTGCAATCACATTTTTTGGGCATACAAGTTTATTGCCAAATTTTTTCTAATGGGATCTTTTGATACAGGTTATTCAACATGGTGCATGCTTAGGTCTTGGCTTAGCAGCCTTAGGAACTGCTGATGAAGAGATCTATGATGACTTTAAAGGTGTGCTCTATACTGACAGTGCTGTAGCAGGCGAAGCTGCTGGGATCAGTGTGGGTCTGCTTATGGTTGGAACTGCTAGTGAGAAGGCTAGTGAGATGCTTGTTTATGCACATGAGACACAACATGAAAAGATCATCAGGTATAGACTTCATTATATATTTTTATATTTGGATTAAAGATAGTATTTGTCGGAGAAAAGCAAGATTTTCTTGTCATCTGTGGTAGAAATGATACTCTTTTCCTAGGGTTTTTGCTAACGGTGTAGTATGTTACAGGGGGTTAGCTTTGGGAATTGCCCTGACGGTATACGGAAGAGAAGAAGAAGCAGACACTTTAATTGAGCAGATGACAAGGGATCAGGATCCCATACTACGTTATGGTGGTATGTATGCATTGGCACTGGCCTACAGTGGGACAGCAAACAACAAGGCCATTCGACAGCTGCTGCATTTTGCTGTGTCTGATGTGAGTGATGATGTCAGGAGAACTGCCGTTCTAGCACTTGGGTTTGTCTTGTACTCCGAGCCAGAGCAGGTTGGTACTTTCTATTTGTCCATTGCTATGCTCTCAGTACTCCATTTGCTGTTGTTTCTTTCCTATTTGATGTTGCTTGCTGCTTTTCTTTTCCTGTTCTCTTATAATGCCTTTATATTTCCAAAATTGAACTGGAAAACTGCAGACACCAAGAATTGTCTCCCTGCTATCTGAGTCTTACAACCCGCATGTTCGATATGGTGCTGCTCTTGCAGTTGGCATTTCCTGTGCTGGTACTGGCTTGAGTGAGGCCATATCTTTGCTAGAGCCTCTGACTTTAGATGTTGTTGATTTTGTGCGCCAAGGTGCTCTCATCGCAATGGCTATGGTCATGGTCCAGATTAGTGAAGCCAGTGATTCTCGTGTAGGAGCTTTCAGGTATTGTCATCGTATTTGCAAAATTTACCATCTTGCTCTCTTTCTCTCTCTGTGTCTCTGTGTCTACCTCTGTATAAACACACAAATAGAGCCCTTATTAATCCATTTTCATGAGTCGAAAAGGATTGCATGTGAGCCAAACCCCTCAATTTAATCCAATGATCTTAACCGTCTATATGTTAGGTTCCTATTCAAAGAGACCAATAACAAGACGCGGAAGTTGGAGAAAATTATCCTTTTTCTTCAATAATGTTTGGAATTTACCAAAACTTGTTAACTTATTTTATTACTTGGATCTTGTTTTTTGAATATAGGCGGCAATTGGAGAAAATTATCCTTGATAAGCATGAAGACACCATCAGCAAAATGGGAGCAATCTTGGCCTCTGGAATTCTTGACGCTGGTGGAAGGAATGTGACCATCAGATTGCTTTCTAAAACAAAACATGATAAGGTCACTGCAGTTGTCGGCCTTGCTGTTTTCAGCCAGTTTTGGTATTGGTATCCCCTTATTTATTTCATAAGCTTGGCATTCTCACCAACAGCTTTGATAGGACTAAACTCTGACCTGAAAGTTCCGAAGTTTGAGTTCCTGTCACATGCAAAACCTTCACTGTTTGAATATCCGAAACCAACCACTGTGCCAACTGCTGCATCGGCTGTTAAACTTCCCACAGCTGTCTTGTCAACATCAGCTAAGGCCACGAAAGCCAGGGCCAAGAAAGAAGCAGATCAGAAGGCAAATGCTGAAAAGTTAACTGGGGCAGAGGCTTCCTCTGCTAGTGCAAATACTGGGAAAGGAAAACCATCAAGTGAGAAGGATGGGGATTCAATGCAAGTAAGTCCTGTCCCACCGCTTCCCCCCTTCACTTTTGCATTTGCCCAAAAGATTTTTAAGCTCAATGTTTATGTTTTTTTTCTTCTTAAAAATAGTTTCTATTAGTTTTATGACATACTACTGGTTTAAACTGTTCCCTAATTATTATCAGGTTCTCTGATTCCATGTACTTTTATAATCTTTAGTTTAGGACATCATAAGTGGTCTTAATTCAAATCCCCCCTCCCTTTTTGCAGGTTGATGGCCCAACTGAAAAGAAATCAGAGCCTGAGCCCTCTTTTGAGATTTTGACCAACCCAGCTAGGGTGGTTCCTTCTCAGGAGAAATTTATCAAATTTCTGGAAGAAAGTAGATATGTGCCCATTAAGTTGGCACCTTCAGGCTTTGTGCTCTTGAGAGACCTGCGGCCAACTGAACCCGAGGTGCTTTCACTTACGGACACTCCCTCTTCTACAGCGTCACCAGCTGGTGGATCAGCAACAGGACAGCAGGGTTCTGCATCAACCATGGCAGTTGATGAGGAACCTCAGCCTCCTCAGCCCTTTGAATACACTCCTAATCAATGAGCGAGGCAGAAGATGTATTCTACAGTGTTCAGTAAGATTTTTCTCCTTCTGTACAGTGAGGAAACAATAGATTTGGCACTTTCTTTTTTCTTTTCACATGTGTTCCTTTTAATGTATCTTTGTTTCAAAGACCTTTAGTTATCATCTTATTTCTTTTTCTTGCTAGTCAGAATGACGCTATAAATATGCAGTTGATTTGTTGGCTTGCTTGCTTTACTAGTTAAAATTTTAAATTTTCCCGGCCACAATGTAGTCATGATTATTTGTAACTATCATGTATGGTGTAAAAATGGATGGATCCATTACGTTTTGGGTTGATTACAAATAGAGATAACACGTCCTTACATGTGGTAGTTGCATATTACCACATCGATATAATGAGACTATTTGTTACAATAATAGTGCTATTTGAGAGCATTTCCTTTATTCTTGGTCGCGTTAAGTCTTCATTGTGCTGAATGTTTCATGCAAATGGTTGGGCACCGTAAGCCGACTCACCCATTCTTTGGGTATGTATCTGAACACCACTTCACAATTGCTCATATGGTGTTGTGTATGAAATTCATCTAAATTATAAAATGTTGTGATAATTAATTTAACTCCAAACTCTACATTAAATACTCTGAATACCATATAGATACACCTAATGAAAACTTAAATACTTCTTTAAAACATATTCATTTTGTCAGAGTAATTTGCTGTGTAATTCTTTATCCAGTAACTTGAATTTTGTTTGTTTGTTATATAAGGAGAGGGGGGAATCGAACCTAAAACTTCGGGTATAAGGATAAATGCTCTTAATCACTTAAGCTATAGACTTTTACTCCGGTAACTTGATTTGAAGGGATTGTAATCCGAAGTATTGACTACACATTAAGGTCATAGTTCAAATATCTCCATCTCCTTAATCATGTATAAATTTATTTTCCTTCTAGTTTGTGGTTTTGTATAAATATAAATGGACTAGTATAGTAATACGAAGTATGGAAGCTTACAAAGTGAACCTCAACAAAGAGAAGCATCAAATGGTAAATATAGGTTTTATGTGTCATTATATTTCATCATGTGTTAAGTAACGTGACGAGAAAGATACATTCATAAATGGACACTCTAGTTTCAATTTCTCTTTCTAATTAAACTCCTAACTAGGGGTGGGCATCAAAACCGAAATACCGAAGTCATCCCGAAACCGTGTCAAACCGTGTCAATTTCGTGCCATCCCATTTGGTGTTGATGTGTAAACGGGATGATACCGTGTCATCCCGTTACTGTTTGACACGACATCGGCATCAACCGTACCGAATAGTAAATTATTTTATTAATTCCTATTTTCATTTCAGTTCTAACCCTAAGTCCATAGAGATGTTTTTGTCGACTGCCTCTTTGTTTCTCTGCGTTTTTTCCTCCTTTCTCCTTTCCTCTGTCTGATTTTTCTCTTCTCTTCTCCTTTCTCAATCAAATTGAATCTGTTCCCAACTCCACAACATCAATCGATCTCATCTTCTTCTCCTCCTCATCCTCCTTTGTCTCTGTCTCTCTGTCTCTCTGTCTCTGTTCTTCTCCAAAACGGCAAAACCAAACCCGTGGAAAAGGAAAGCCCCAACCCAACCCGAAGTCTCTCCGAATTTGTAGGATCTTCTTCTTCAAGCCTTACCCTCTGCTACCAATCTCAGGTATTTGTTTTCAAATTTGAGAGATTATTTGATTTTGGGAAGACATGAATTGGTTCTGTAAGCATGTGTGGGAATCTATTAATACCATATGGTATCAATTCTCTTATTATTTAGGATGGATTGGTTTTGATTTTGGGAAGACATGAATTATTAACATGCATATGGGCTACTGTCAGTTTACTGTTTATGTATATGTATATATATCTGATAGTTATGTTCTTAAAGAAGTTTCTGTGCTCAGATTTCAGGCACAATAACTGTGGTTCAGCATCAATTCTATTCCATGACAAACTAGACCTCCAATGGTACACGACATCACTAATCAAGTATCAAGATTTGAAATAGTTGGATTTCAAACCTAAATTCATACATCTCAGACCCTAAATACAAAATAAATGAATTTTGAATGCCATAGCATTTAGACCACAAGTTGGCATTTCGATACCAAAAGCAAATATCTTTTATGCATTCCATGGTCTGTTATCTTATATATAAGCATGAAATGCAATGGTAGCACACGTGGGTTCAATTAATCATTTAAATTATGAATGTAATCAAGACCAGCCATTTGAATTAATTGGTATCATATCATAATCAAACCCAAAGTAATATTAATTTGTCATTTGGTGCAGCTTTGCAGTTAAATTATTCTTGCATCAGCTCTCCAACGTAGAAGAAGGGCTTTAGGAAATTTTGCAGTGTTGCTTGCCCTTTGTTCAATGTTCCTAGCAGGAGAACAAACTTTAGAAGATGAACCTACTGCTGAAGAATATGAGTTTTATGAGAGTGTTGAATTAGGTTTGTTTACTATGTTTATTAATTATTACTTATAATGTTGTATTTATTTTTAATTTGATCTTAAATGTTTAGGCTTTTTAATTGTTTATTATTTTATAATGTTGCATTTGGTTATAAGAACATGTGTGGATTTATTTTTTGCAGAATATGCAAGTACTGAAGCTGCTGCCACCAGTACAAACACATTTGGTTGAACTTGAAAATTTGCAGATTTGATTGAACTATTGTAAGTTGTAACAGCAGCCATTTGATTTTCAGATTTGATTGAACTTGAAAATTTGTAGATTTGTTACGGTATCAACATTGATACCGAATCATACCGATCCCGTTTGGGTTCGGTACGATTTGAACGTGTTTTCAAAAACCCTCATCCCGTGTCATCCCATACCGATTCCACTATTCGGGATTGACACCGGGATGACCTTCATCCCGTGTCATGTCATACCGTGCCCACCCCTACTCCTAACTGATTTAGGAAGGACACGATCTACGAGAAAGAAAATCGAGCTCGAACGTAAAAGGATGACCATAATGCTTTGTTTAACTAACCTAACCCACATATGCTGTATACCTACTTTCACTTCAAGTTCAACTCCAAATAAAACGCAGCCAGCCACTGTCAGTCAAAAAATAAGAAAAGAAAGAAAATAAAATACCAAAAGGAAAGTAAAGTCACGAAGTCAGAGGTTCACACATGACGCCCACATGTATAAAAATCCCCACTCATGTGATTCCCCACTCCCCCACTTTGAAACCCAAAGCAGCTTCTGCAGCGCGCAGCCGTTACCAAAAAAGACGAGATGAAGTCCATCTCAATTTCCGCAATCCAACGGCCACGATCTCTCCCTCCCCTTCTCCGTTCCCAATCCTCGCGACGCCTCTGATCATGTTAGCCGCCGCCTCCTCCTCAACCACATGGCTCCGAGCTCGCCGAAGCCGCTACCTCGTCCTCCTCCTCTGCTCTCCGGTTCTCATCCCCTTTCTCTGCGCCACTTTCCCTTTCCTCTGCGCCGCCGAGCTCTGCCGCCGCCGCCGTATAAAGACGGCTCACGGCACAGACGAGGAGGAGGAGGAGCGGCTGCGGCGATGCGAAGAAGGACGCGGCGGCGAGAGAGAAGAGATGGGGCTGCTGCAGAGGTATTTGGAGGATCAGTTGCTGCTCGTTGGATCTGTGTATGATTGTGGGGATGATGATGTTGATGATGTTGATGATCGTTTGTACCATGAGATTCATGACTATGATAATGATTCCAAAACTACTCCTCTTTTGGCTTGATTGATTGCTTCTTTGCATTTTCCTTTTTTCTTTTCTTTTTTGTTAGCTTGTAGATCATCCATTTTTATTTATTTTTCTTTTGGTGAAATTTGTTTGTGAAGTTTTTTTTGTTGAGAATTTTTGGAATTGTGAATATGAAATAGTTGTGTGCGTCTTTGCCTTGTCTTTGAGCTTTTGAGAAGTAGAAGCAGCAGTCCCACTAACTAAAGAAAAAAACGAAGAGTTTGCTATTGGAAAGAATTTACACGTATAATTCTTCCAGCATTCTAATATTTAATGCAACAAAAAATAAATAAATAAATCATAGGGATGGTAATGTCAGTGCAATCCCTATGATAAGAGCGTTTTTCCTTCAGCTATGCCTCCGTCCATCCTCTCAAATTATATTCAAATGGACGAGAAGGGAAGTGTGACGAGCCAAATATATGGACCAATCCAATTTTCATGAATGTAAAATATGGACTACTTAGCAAAATTAATCCTTACCAAAACTACAATATCTAAATGAAAAACCATAATACGAGAAAATTGTAATTAATTTTTTAATACATATAGAGAGCTTCAGTTGGAAGACTTCTCAAATAAGTCTATTTAAAAGCGATTGGATGGTACAATTGAATTTCATTAATAATAAAGATAAAAGGATACACCAAGCTAGTTAGGGAATGTAGAATGTAATGATCTTTACCCAGACCTTTATTGTCCTTGACATGTTCAACCTCAGGTCTGTGACTGTAGACATTAAGGACAGGTCAGTTTGGGTTTAGGCTGGAGCCACACTTGGAGGATTGTTCTACAGAATTTCGGAGAAGAGCAAAGTCCATGGCTTTCCTGCTGGTGTTTGCCCCACCGTTGGTATTGGTGGGCACATAAGTGGCGGTGGCTATGGAAACATGTTGAGGAAGTTTGGCCTCGCTGTTGACAATGTCATTGATGCTCAGATTGTTGATGCTAAGGGGAGAGTTCTTGATAGAAAATCAATGGGAGAATACCTGTTTTGGGCTATTAAAGGAGGGCGTGGAGGAAGCTTTGGTGTCATTGTTGCATACAAATTGAAGCTGGTTTCTGTCCCAGAAACTTTCACAGTTTTCCAGGGTGCGAGAACGTTGGAAGAGAATGCAACCAACGTCGTCGTTTCGAGGTGGGACCAACCACAGACGATGGTCTGCTTATGAGGCTGCTGTTTCAGCCAGGGAGCAACACTGTTAAAGCCAAAATTATGGCAGAGTTTCTAGGCAATGCTGACCAACTTGTGTCATTATTGGGGAAGCAGTTTCCTGAGTTGGGTTTGGAGGAGGAGGACTGTAAGGAGATGAGCTGGATTGAGTCTGTGCTTTGGTGGGCAAACTATGATAATGGGATCTCCCCTGATGTATTGCTTCATAGAAATCCTGATCATGCAAATTTCCTGAAAAGGAAGTCTGATTATGTTCTAACCCCAATTTCCAAAGGCAGATTGGAGTTGGTGTGGAATAAGTTGATTGAAATAGGCCAAACAGCCTCCGCCACGCCTCTTCCACACCGTGCCGGGAACTTGTTCAAAGTTCAGAACCACAGACACCAGGAGGTTTTTTAGGTTCATGACCCCATTTGTGTCCAAGAACCCAAGGAGTGCTTTCTTAAATTACAGGGACCTTGACATTGGTGTCAATAAATTTGGTAACAGAAGCTATGAACAAGGGAAGGTGTATGGCTAGAAGTACTTCAATGACAATTTTGATAGGTTGGTGAAGGTGAAGATTGCTGTTGATCCAGAAAATTTATTCAGGAACGAGCAGAGCATCCCACCTAATCCAAGTTTCCACTCAGAGCCACCTCGTCCAAGTTTCCACTCACAGCCACCTCATTCAAGCTTGCACTTAGAGGTGAACGGTGGGTCAAGCTCAAGTTCTAAACTATCAATGGGGAAGCTGAAGCTAGTACTGGGTCTACTGGTGTTCTTGTTTATTTCTTTGTAATTCTTTCTATCAATTTTGTACTGTGGTAATTGGTAGAAAGAATTTTTGTTCGAGTTTTTAGTATTTGGAACTTTAATCTGTACTTTTTGACGTGCATCTTCATCTTACTTGTCAGAGGTACAAACCAAAAGATATTTGAGAAACAAGAAAAGGATAAATCTGTACTTGTCCACTTTAGAAAAGATAGAGAGGCACTAATATTTATCAAAAGAATGAGAATGTTGAGAGACAGAAAAACAACAAAGCTCAATTTGTAATACGGATTGACTGCATATTAGACAACACGCTATCATACCTTTGGGGCTTTTATCCATCGAATTTTTCCGTCCCTTTTCCCCCACTCTCACCATAGGGCTTTTATCCATTCCCAACATTTGGGGTTTTTTGTTTGAATTTCCATCCCATTCTTCTGTGTGGGCTTATCCATCGAATTTTTCCGTCCCTTTGATCCATTTTGGGCTTTTAATCCATCAAACTTTTATGTCCTTCACCATGGGACTTTTATCCTTCACTGTGGTGTGGACTCATCCATCGAATTTATTGCCGCTGTATTGCACATGTATTACTTTTGAGTGATGATATTTGGACACACAACATTGACACACTTAGTTGACACCCGCTGATGTGTCAATGTATCATTCGCTGAAAGAAAACGAGGAGAAAAGAAGAGCAAATGATACATTGACACATCAGCGGGTGTCACTAAGTGTGTCAATATTGTGTGTCCAAATAGCAGTACTCATTACTTTTTTATTGCCTAATTGCGCATTTGCATATTTTCCTTTTTTCCAATTTTCTAATTTTTGTATTTTCCTTTGATCGTATTTTCCTAATTTCTTATTTTTCCTATTTTCCTAATAAGAAGGCAATACAAAAATTCTACTCCCAACTATATAATTTTGATTCCAAGACACTTGGACATGAATAACATAGCAATATAGAGACAATGCGACGACAATAAGAAGGCAATAAAATACTCCATACTCCCAACTATATAATTTTATTTCCAAGACAGCTATATGAATTAATTAAATACTTGTGTGTCGGAGGGGAATATATCTTTCCTTCACTCTATCCCTTAAAGACACGTCCTCGTCTTTTCTCTATCAGCAGCTGAGGGTATAAACCATCAAAATTTCAGTGAAAAGTGCAAACAAAGCTTCGACTGGTTTGATAGAAGTGATAAATAACCATTGAATATTGCAAACAAACCTAATAACGTCATATTGATTTCGAGTGGTATTTTCAGAACTTCTCACACAAACCTAATAACTTCACATTGAATATTGCTAACAGAAGATAGGCTTTACCAATCCAACATCAACTAATGACCTTTCTATGGACAAAGAATAACTCAGAACATCTTATCATCTATCAGTGGATTGGTAATTTGAATTACCGCACTCTATATCTAAAGGGGAAAAAAAGGCATAACTATGAGATAGTTGTAATCTGATTTTGTGACCAAACTCAACTTAAACAGAACAGAAGAAAGATTAAGGACATGAAAAAATAAGAAGGAAGAAGATAAGATAGATATCAACCCTGCAACCTGTTCGTCGATGAACAATGGCTTCCAATGAAAGAGTCAAGTTCATAGATTCTATCCAAGCCATAATACCCACATATGGAATATCCATGTCATGATCACCACTGTTAATAGACAGGTAACGTAAACCCTTCAAAAAATTTGTTTGTTGTGGTTATGGTGCTTTCCAATTTGTAACACATGAAAGCTCACATTATGAAACACAGCTAAGCAACTTATTCAAGCACTTAGGAATCCACACATTATGAACGAGGGTACAGTGGGTGCAATGAAGAAGGCATTTCAGTTATGACAAAATAGGTAAGTGGATTGGAGAGGCGGTACGCAAACATAAATCAACATCTGAACTATATTTAAGAACATTAATGCCACAACTGATCTATTTTCCCAACGGAAGGGATGCTGCTGAACCAAGAGTTGTAAAACTCATTCAATTGGCAGCCGAATACCGGTACATCCGACTACATAGTAGCAAAGTACATATTACAAAGTTCCAATATAACATAATGATAAGATGCTACAACTCATGATATCCAACAAGAAAACAAAGGTTAGAATGTTACCTCTTGCAAAACTCTGTTACATATCGTGAGCCATTGTAAAAAAAAGAACCAGATCAACACAGCGACCAAAGTATCTGTCAAGATTAAGGAACTCAGAAATTCAATATAACAGCACAGAGGAAGAGAGAGAAGTTCATATTAAATTTGATCGAGAATGGTGAGAGATGGAGTTAAAATCTTATATCCTAAATATAGCATTACTTCTTCAACATGTACTTCCCCTGCTATTAATTAAAGATCATCAGATTGAACCAGAAACATGATATACAAGTTTTGATGAAACTTATACATGCTTTCGAACTCGTTACAGCAAGTATTTATAATATGTTCAAGCAAAATGCTTCTTTTTTCCAATTGAACAAATGGTAAATGTCATACAACCACTTGAAAATTAAAATTATATACTCCATCTCTACATGATCAAGAATAATGCAATTTTTTTTGTGATTTCTGAACTTCAAAATGACAAAAATCAATCATTCATATTGAACCCAATTCATGGCTCTAGAACCTACAAACAGTAATCACAGGTTGGTGCCGGGTTAAGATGTATCCGAATAAATACAAGCTGACAAAATTACATGTAAATGAAAAACAAAAAGTACATAAACCCAAAACAAAGAAAACAAAAAAAAAAAATCATATAAATTCCAGCAACAGAAAAATTAGTAGGAAAAGCGGATTGTAGCACTGAGCTTCTCTGAGATACAGAGGTTTATTATAAATCAACGAAACAATATCAACATAACAGCATAACAATATCAATCAATTATAAACTCTAATCCAAATACAATATCAATCAATATCAATAATAAAGTATAATCCATAAAAAAAACAATATATATATATCAATTTCATTAGAAATATGGTAGAGCCCTGTTCGTCACTTACAGAGAAAAAATAGGAAAAAGAGGCAAAAATAGGAAAGCAGAATAACAAACTCTCCAAGGAGGAATCTTACTGAACCTAGCTTCTAGAACCATTATTACAACTGAAATGAGAAATGGGAAATTGTAGAGCTGAAGCTTAATAGGAATATGACCCAATGGTTCCTAACCAAATATAAATTCTACTCACTTGAAATTATGGGCGGCGCCGGCAACACAAGGGCTGCTGCGGCGGCAGGAGGTGATCGGCGCCGGAGGGTTTGAGTTTTGAGCGGAAGTGTGAAACTAATTTGGGAATTAAGGGTTTGCGGGGTTCTGTTCCTTTCTAATTTCGAATGGACTGTGTTTAGGTGGTGAGTAAATTTTTGGGGTTATTGGACTCCCCAAGTTCATTTTCTTCAGCAACTTCATTCACAGAACGGAAAAAGTCGATGTGACTTGAAGAGCGAGTGAGGAGAGAGAGCAGATAGACTGATTTCAGACTGAGAAAAGAAAAAGTGATAAAGAGGTGATAGGTGAGCAATAGGAAGTATTTATAGCGGTCAGTTTTGTAGGCTTTAAAACAAAGGGCCATTTGGGGATTGTATAATGAAGCCAGCGGCCAAAGCCGCCTATTTCCCTTTAAATTTCAAATGGAAAGAAAGGGACAGCAAAGAACAACCAGCCAACAGCTCTGGCTTGCTTTTGGAAGCAAGACTGATCTGATCGCTGTGGGCCCCACTCCAGGCCCCCAAAAAGACAAAATGGCCCCTCTCAACCTGGCAGGCGTTACAACCGTTGCGGCCGGCTCTTTTCCTCTCCTCAAACATTGATGCTGTCAAGGTTTCATTTCATCGAAAATCCTACATTGTTTGATGACATGACAGCCTGTTCTAACAACACCTAATAGAAACTCCACACGTGTCCCGAGACGACCTTGGCTTTGCCTTAGGGTTTTTGTTTTTTTAATCCAAATTGCCTTAGGGTTTCGCGGTGTTATTCTTCTTTGACAGCTCTGTCACTGTATTATTTCTATAGGAAATAAAATCTTTGAAGAGAAGAAGGGGATTTCGTCCAAAAAATAGAAGGAAGGGGAGATTTAAATTTTTAAATTTTTATAATTGTTTTGACAAACGTTAAGATATTTACAAGATAATCTTACAACGAGGAATGCTATCAATCTTTTCTCCAACCTTCTCTTTTGGACTTTCTCCTTTTTACTCATGATATGTGTCTCTTTCCTTACACTTAAAACAATGCAATTAATGCATCAAACAAGCTAACATTTATTTTCCAAATTTACCCTTATTAAATATATTGATTTTAATGTTTCCTCTAATTTATCAAAAAAAAATTACAAACTTCTTACCACCTTGTTAAAAATTAAATAAGAAAAAACGTTAGTTTTATTTTTTGTTTGCTAAAATTTGGTATGCCATTATTTATTTTAGGATTTTTTTTTCTTCAAATAATCAGACTCCAAAGACAATAAGGGATATAAATAAATATAAATAAAACTATGAACTCCCTTTGGAATCTGATTATTGGGGGTTTAAAAATATTTTTAGTTATTACTGAAAATGCTCTTTAACTTTATTTAGCAGTATAAAAAAAAATGCAATTAATGAACGTGATCTTTCTATTGAGTGTTTTTTTTAGGTCATTCTTTTGTGTTTAAAAAAATAGACATTTTATCTCTATTAAAAAAAATGGTCATTTTCTTTTTTAAAAATGTGACATTTTTTATTATTAATTTTTTACATGTGGTAAGAGAGTTGTAAAATTATTTTTGAACAAATTGAAGAAGAATACATTTAATAAGGGTAAACTTGAAAAACAAATGTTAGCTTATTTGATGCATTAGTTACATTGTTTTAAGTGTAAGAAAAGTTACACATGTCATGAGGAAAATGGAGAAGGTCCAAAAGAGAAGGTTGAAGAGAAGGTTACTAGCATTCCTCTCTTAAAACATGTCAATACATCCACAACAATGCTACACCACCATAATGAAGCTAATCAGAACGGGTTATGTTTCAAACTCATTAAAAATTCAGATTGTCCTTATATTCAAGTGTGTCGAATATGATACCTCCTCTAACGAAGTAGAGACATAACACTAAATCAAAGACAAATTTATTTATTTTAATTTATTTACTCAAAGGCGAATTAGAGGGGCACGATGATGTGTTTGAAAATTTTGAGAACCCTTCTACCATAAGAAAACGTGCTTAGCGGTTTCTGAGATTTTATGCGGCTTCTCTTGGGGTTGGGCGGCCCATTGTTTTGAAAAATCAAACGGCTTTTTTTGGACTATTTATTTTGTGAAATCATTTATATATAAAAAAAATTCAAGGAAAAGAAAGAAAAATTGTGAGTACATGAATTGACAATATGAATCATTGTGACAGCCTATAGGTCCTTTTTTTTTGTTTTTTGGTATGATGTTTGAGATTTATTTTTTAATATCCAACTAAGAAAAAAATTAGATTTATTTTTCTAAGGGCACTAGCATCAATAAGTCATCACTCTACCAACTTTCTCCATAAATTGAGGATTAGAGGGCTTCATCCTTGCATTGCATGTGCATTGACAAAAGGAGAATAATAAGAAAAAGCAACCTCTTACATGATCATTTCTATCACAATACAATAATATTTTAATTTAAAACAAATCAACTTTAATTACGCATTTTCTTATTGTGAGCATGTCATCTATTATGTCATAATGCGATATTTGGGCTAAATAGTTAGTCTAAGAAAAAATTGAAAGTGGGTTATCCTTGTTGTTTAACTAAAAAGCAAAAATCTTTAAAAGTAAAAAAAAAAATAAAAAAATTACATGTTTTGATTAAACATAATAGAAGTTTGTTCATGTAAGATAATGAAAGGTCAAATTTTAAGTCGGTGCAGGAGTTGAACTCTTATCATAAATCTGAGGGTATAATACTTTCTAACGCTCGAGCTATGCGCCCTGGAGGGAAAGATAATGTTTAGTGCTCCTTTCATACTAAAAAATGGGTTGGAGAATAACGTTTTGGATGACCAATTCTCAAAGGTCGAGTGAGTGACGGCCTATTAGTTTCTTAAAGGGATAGAACATAAAATCCACTCCCATTTCTCAAATTTTCTTCTATTAGATAAGTACAAACTTATGACCTCATGATGGCTACATTGGACATTTTGGATATCATCCAATAAAATATTTTTTAAGATGAAAAAAATAAAATAAAATAGGGTAAGTGAAATTAAGAAGAGGGCAGGGCGATAGTGATATTTGAGAGTTTTGTGACATATTGGAGCAAAGTACACGAAATAATAAAGGAGATTCTCATAGGAGGAGGGGAAGTTTTAGAATTTTAGAAGAAGAAGAAGAAGTGGGGTGGGCCCCGACCCGAAAACAAAGTGGCATACTAGCTGGCAAACCGGTCTGACAGACTGGTTCTTCCCATAGACAACACCACCAACATCAACAACCATCACCTTCTCCATTTTCTTCAAACCCCCCCTCTCCCCCTCAATCCCTCACCACTCAAACCTCAACTTCCACTTCTTCTCCACCATTTTTAAGACCCCCAACCCCCCCCTTGTCTCTCTCTCTCCCTCTCTCTCCCTCTCTCTCATACTCTCTCTCTCTGAAGATTTGATAAACATAATTAGTTGTTATGGCTGAGGAGCACCAGAAGCCTGAAGCTACTGCTGTTGCAGAAGCACCAGCAACTTACAGCGAGGAGGTTGTGGTGGTGGCCGATGCGCCGCCTGCCGAGAAGGCTGTACCCGAGAAAGAAGGTCCTCCGGAGGCCGAGGCTGAGGCGGTAGCCGAAAAGCCTGTGGCTGAGGAGAAGGCCCCCAAGGCTGCTGAGGAGGATCAGAAGATTATCGCTCAGTCGGTTTCTTTCAAGGAGGAGAGCTATGTTGTTGGTGAGCTTCCCGAGCCGCAGAAGAAGGCTCTTGAGGAGCTCAAGCAACTCATCCAGGAGGCCCTCAACAAGCACGAGTTCACTGCTCCGCCCACTCCGCCGCCGGCCAAGGAGGAAGAGAAGCCTGCACCGCCTGAGGAGAAGAAGGCCGAAGAAGAACCCAAAGCTGAAGTTGCTGCTGCTGAAGAACCAAAAGCAGCAGAAGAAGCCAAAGAAGAAGAGAAGCCCAAAGAGGAAGCAAAAGAAGAAGAGAAGCCCAAAGAAGAAGAGAAACCCAAAGAAAAAGAAGAAGACAAACCCAAAGTGGAAGAAGAAGATAAGCCAACAGAGACTGTGGCTGTGGTTGTGACAGAGGAGGTGGTGGAGAAAGTCACCGACGCTGTTGACGATGACGGCGCAAAGACCGTAGAGGCCATCAAAGAGACCATAGTGGAAGTTGCCTCCTCTTCTGCAGCAGAGGAGGCTGCAGCCGAGCCTAAACCAGAATCCGAGGTGGCAGCGGAGTCTTCTGCTGCCGCTGCTCCGGCCCCGGAGGAGCCGAAGACGGAAGCGGAAGCTCCCGCCGCACCTCCTCCGCCACCGGAGGAGGTGTATATCTGGGGAATTCCGCTTCTCAGCGACGAGCGGAGCGACGTCGTTCTGCTAAAGTTCCTGAGAGCCAGGGACTTCAAGGTGAAGGACGCGTTCGCCATGATCAAGAACAGCGTGCGGTGGAGGAAGGAGTTTGGCATCGACGCCCTTCTGGAGGAGGATCTTGGAAGCCATTGGGACAAGGTGGTTTTCACCCATGGAGTTGACAAGGAAGGCCACTCTGTCTGCTACAATGTTTTTGGGCAGTTTCAGAACAAGGAGCTCTACCAGAACACCTTCACAGATGAAGAGAAGAGGTCAAAGTTCATCAAGTGGAGGATCCAGTTCTTGGAGAAGAGCATCAGAAAGTTTGACTTCAACCCTACTGGGATTTCTACAATTGTTCAGGTCAATGATCTCAAGAACTTCCCTGGTTTCTTCAAGTGGGAGCACAACCAGGTCACCAACCAGGCCCTTCAATTGCTTCAAGATAACTACCCTGAGTTTGTAGCCAAACAGGTACTTAAATTACTCGATTAGTGACTGATTAATTAGCGATAATATTCTCAATTTTTAATTGCTTAATTTGATATCTGGGTTTTGGTTTTTGAAGGTGTTCATCAATGTCCCATGGTGGTATCTTGCTTTCAACAGGATGATCAGCCCCTTCCTCACCCAGAGGACCAAGAGCAAGTTTGTGTTTGCTGGTCCTTCCAAGTCTGCTGAGACCCTTTTCAAGTAAGTATTGTAATTTCTATTTAATTATCCATTCTCATGTCCTTTTTTCTGCACCACTGCTCTGCTGCTTTGGAGCTTTGTTCATTGATCAAATTTTAAAAAAGAAAAAAAAAAGAAAAGTGTATGTGTATAATTTAATTTCTGAATTTTGTCAAACAGATATATTGCTCCTGAGCATGTACCAGTTCAGTATGGTGGGCTAAGCCAGGAGGGTGAGCATGAATTCACCACATCTGATCCTGTCACTGAGATCACAGTTAAGCCAGCCACAAAGCACACAGTTGAAATCCCAGTCTCTGAGGTATGCAGGGCTCAAGGAAT